CCCTCTTTCCTTGTGTGCGTGCGTGACTGCTCTCTTCAATAGGTTCACAAAGTGTTTCCCAATGGACTAGCATCTCAGGAAGGAACTATTCAGAAAGGAGATGAAGTACTATCCATTAATGGAAAGTCTCTTAAAGGTGCAACTCACAATGATGCCTCAGCAATCATGCGGCAGGCTCGACAACCCAGACAAGCTGTTGTTGTCACTAGAAAAGCTAAAGATGGAGAAAAAAGTGTCAATGTTTCAATCGACTCTAGTACATCTTCAGTAGCAAGTGATGCTTCACAAGAGTCGGGTGAGTAAGTTGAGTGGCATTACCTTGCAGCCCCCACCTGCTAAGTGTTTACTCATCACCTGTAATCCAGGTGTCCATAAAGCAGCTCAGCTTTGGCTGTGTAAATCTGAGAACAATGATTGAAGACAGCACAGTTCATAAAACAGTTCTAAAACAGATATTTGGAATTACTTTGTTGGAAAAGGAAAGAATTAAAGGATTTATAAGATAAAGGAACCCTCTGAAAGAAACCAAGTGTGATTCTTTGTATGAATTTATGTAGACATACAATGATTATTATTGTAGTAACACATCTAATTGAAGGGATAATGACAGCTCAGTGAACAGTGATTCTTTATTCTAATATTATTAGATTCAGGTTTACAAGACTTTCTCTGTGAAAGAGAGTTTTGGTTTGAACAAACAATGTGCTATTCTTTGATACAGCAGGTGGCTACATCTGAAACACAGCAAGGTCAGATTTTTGTAGAACCTTTCACATTCTTAAGATATTATTGTGTTGTTTGGTTGGTTGTTTTTTTTCTAAAGCATGACTTAGAGGACTGTAGCTATATTTACATATTGCAAATAAACATAAGCAGCTTTGTAGTTGATAACAATTTCATAACTAACATCAAGTCAAATATGTTTACCTTAAATTGTGTTCATTGAAGAGATTTTTTTAAATGTTAGTAAATGTTACCAGCTTTCATCTTTATATTTCCATTCTGCCATGAATTCAAACACAACTTGCTCCTAAGCTTCCCAGAGGGCCTTGCAATGACAAAAAGAGTAATTAAAAGTTAGAGTTTTCTCTTTCATTTGGCAGTTTACGATGCCTTTGCAAACAAAACAGAAATTAATTTTTTGTAACAGATGTTTCAGCTTTCCAGACTGTGTGGTGCCCATCTGCTAACTTTCCATTTTTTTCCAGCAACTGAAGGTACGATCTGCACTGTAACTCTGGAAAAAACACCTGCTGGTTTAGGATTCAGTCTGGAAGGAGGGAAGGGCTCTATTCATGGAGATAAACCCATCATCATCAAAAGGATATTTAAAGGTAAACACACTTAAATGTGTACACAGCAGGTTCTCAGCCGATGCAAACTTGTGCAGTTCATAACTGACTGCTGACTTATACCCATGAAAAAGGATATTTTGTAAATGCAGCATTATTCTGTGCAGCAGTGGTAATTTGTTGCCTGCAGAGATCAGGTGGTTTATACTAAACATGCTAGTGATCTTTAATAAGTAAAAGATTAAAGTCTCCTCTATGCAAAGAATTAAAGGAAATTCATTTTCTTTCTCCAGGAACTGCATTAGAACAAAGCAGCCCTGTTCAGCCTGGTGATGAGCTGTTACAAGTGCACACGACTGCCATGCAAGGACTCACTCATTTTGAAGCCTGGAATATAATCAAGGCATTACCTGATGGCCCCATCACAGCAATCATCAAGAGGAAGAATCCGAGCTCTGTTACTGCCAAGTCATCTGAAACTTTGTAAAAGGAGGAATTAGACTACTGCCAATATTACAAACAAAAAAGGATTTTATTACTTGCAGCCATTTGGCTAGCACAGCGAGCTACTCAGAAAGCACATATGAAAAGCACACGTGATCTTACTGCCAGTTACAGAGCAAGCTGTTTGGGATAAAATAAGATCTGCACAAAATGTGCATGATTCTTATTTCAACATTCAGAAACAGATGTTACAAAGTGTAGAATTATAAAATAATGTTTTTATTAATAATATACTGGTTGTAATAAAATATGTGACAGCTATAGTACTCTCCTATTTTAAGCCATTAACTTCACAGATATCAGAAGCACATTCTGTGCTACGTTTTCCGTCCTACTCTACAAGTCTTGCACCCTGCCTTACCTTCCCAGGAGAAAGAAATGTGTCTACACACCTACAACCAACCACTGCTCTAAAGAATGTGTAAAAACTTAGAGAGCATGTGAAGGGCAGAGAAAGGGGGATGCAACTTTGTGTGTCAGTGACAACATGTCCTGGAAAACTCCAGCTTTCCTTTTCAAACCACAGAACATCTAAGCCAACCAAAACCTGTCAAGTAACTTTCTACCAGCAGTTGACAGAGCCATCTCAAATCCAGCAGGCAGACATGAGGTGGAAGGGAAAGGAGCATCTCACAGTGTTGCAAGGGTGAGGCAGGAAGCTGAGGATAATACAGCAGAGGTTTTCCTAACCTTCCTCTGGCCAGAGATCTCAGAAGACTACAGCAGGAGGGTAACAAGGCCATTCAGAACCAAGTCTTACCTTCTAACTACACCGTTTTTGCAATGTCTTTGTGTTAATCTCATAAGGGAAAGTACCAGTGAAAGCATTTGGGAATGAGAAGTTCTGAATTCAAATGTTTATTCTGGAAACACTAAATCACTTGGAGACAAATCTATGCTTCAAGTGCTGCTATTGGCATTTTGACAGTGCTCTCTAAGCACGCTCTACCTACATCACTAAAGGGAGAGATGCAACATCAGGATGGCAGTAGTGACTTGCCAGTAGAAAGCCAGATGGCTGCACTGGTTATTGTCCTTGATCGTTTCCCCTCCCGTAGCTGGCAATTTGCTGCACCCTTCTTTGTTTACTTAATTTTGCAAACCATAAACTGCAGAAGTTCAGAAGCTGTTTTCCCTGCACTTAACACAATGTCACAGAGACTGCAGAGGGAAAGGGAAGTAGGACAGACAGCAGAAGGTAATAATTGAATCCAGGCGTATAACCTGCTTTGGCCTCTCTCACAAGTCAACTCCATGTTAATCCTGGAAAGAACATTCTTGACAAGCCATCAGCCCTCACACTTCCATCCGCCCTCCCAGTTGAGTTGTCTTTTCCAAAAAAAGAACTAAGAAATCCTTGAAACAAAATTTATACAAATCGGGTAGCAACCAAAATAGGAGAAAAATGTAAGAGGGAATCTTTTTGTTCATTTTTTAACATAACTTGCTGAGTAATTTATTTTTGGTAGAATTTATTGCATTTAACTTTATCTGCACTAGTGATTTAGGCTTACCAAATTTTAAGTAAAGGCCTGATGCATACAAAAGATTCTAAGGTTTTTCAACCACTTGTCCATACCACAAATGAAGGAAAACCATGCATGATTTCTGTACAAAAAAAAGCAGGCCTGAAGTCTTAAACATTGTTAAAGATATTTCGTGTACAAGACAGAACACACCTTTTAGTCAGATGCATAACTTCAACAATAGACTGCTCTGGCTACAGCCATGGCACAGAAGCCCTTAATTACTTCAATGCCATCTGCTGAAGGTGTCCTCAACTGAAACTTGTATTTAATTTCATCAATTTAAGAACTGACATAGAACCACCAAGACGATTTGATCTCGCTTTTTTCCAGAGGTGCTCCTCTCACTTCACTTCCAAGTCTATCATTTTTTGCATGCCTCTGCATGTCCTGGCATCTGCCAAGATCAAGAGGTCAAAACACACTGTGCGACAGGCAGCGTGGCTCACTGGGGAGTCCTCCAAGTTCTTACAAGATTATCTTTGCCAAGGCATTTCTATCTCCAATTTGGGAGGGCAGGAGGCTGAATATTAAGAGCTTTTAATTTCTTCTGGACAGATTGTGTTGAGCATTCAGAAAAGGGATCCTTAACTTATTCCAAGGAAAAGCCTCAACTACTACCTTTAGCGCTCAGAGACATAATGAATAAATGAATAAAGCTAATAAAGCCCCATTGCCTGTGAAAGGTTTACTTGCAGGAATAACAAGTGGTGACCTGAGCTCTGTTCCTTGAACTTTTTGCTAATTAAATTAATCATAATCCTGCAAAGACTTGCTGAGAGCACTGAACTTCATGCCTAACAACTTGAGTACTTTTAGACAAATATAAATGAACCTCTGTAATTTCAGGGCCCAAACCTCTCCTCAGTGCATGTTACTCTGTGTAGGTACAGAAAGGAGCAATCTAAATTGGAAACAAGGACCAACCAATGGTAAAGAAGTTGGGAGGGTGAGCACTATCACCAAAACATCTTTATCAGCAGTTAGTTGGGAGTGCAAATTGGAACAAAGGCTTTTCCCTGCCTTGTTGCCTTGAATTCAGAGAGATGCTAGAGGTCCAAGTGGCTCTTATGTTTCCTTGATGCCAAAGCAGGTGCATGAGGAACCATTTTAAAGGATGATCCAGGAAAAACAGCAAGATGTAGCAGAAAAATATTTATTTCATCACACTTATACAAGTTTTTACATCTCTGTACACAAAGGAGACTAGATTAAAAACTGCTTCCTTTTCCAATGGGAAATTTTGTGTGCAAGTCCATGCCCTACATTAAATTTAAACAAATGCAGGGACAAACAGCAGAGCATATTTACCTTGTCAAATAACCAAGTTACAGCATTAAAATCACAACCTGCATTTAAATTTCTAATTTAGCAATTAGTTTTCCTTTTGTAATTATATATAATCCATAATGATGACTAACATTCCTGCAGTAACCAGCACCGTAAGCATTTTCTAAAGCTGGACACAACACTGCACACAAGATCAGGAGCTGGTTTCCCAAGATAGTGCTGTGAGGCAAACCAGTCCTAGGAAAAAAACAATGTCCTTACGGCCTGTCAAGTCAGTATTAAGCTACAGAAAAGATTATTTACCCATTAAAACCTCGCACCACAAGAGACCAAAAACTGCGCAGTTAAAAATGGTAATTTCAAGTGCATTTTAGAAAAGGGCAATAAAGTGCTTAATCCTCTATTTACTGCTACTATGTCAGTGCAGTTTGTTTCATGACATTGCGGAAATCACTGGTTTTGGTACAGAGAAGAGAAGGGAAGAATGTATGTTTGCCAACCCACCGACCTATGAATTGATTTGCACTGGTAGACTATGATTTAGAAAAAAAGCACGACGACGTATTTACCATTAGCACTGAAGTCCGCTGGAACAAACAATCCAATTTGTTCTGGCTTTTACCAGTTGCTGGCTTGGACCTACTGAAGCATTTTAGCAGCTCTACCAGTGCTGGCAGCAAGAGAGCTACCTCATATTTTGAGGAAGGAACATTGTTCCACAGGAGTCTACAGGGAGCTTTGGAGACAAAACAGGGCTGGCTTGCACCTGGCTAACGCTGTAGTGCTAAGTAGGTTTTAGCAATGCTCCTCCTCACAAACAGTGCTAAAGCGTGGCCAAGATGCTACTTTGTGCATCTTCTGCCACAGTCACCAGTGCTGCCTCCAGGATTCTTCCAGCCTCTGGTGTGATATTTTTCTAATTATGAAAATGAAGGACATTGCATTAGAAAAGAATGCATTGCTCTGCATAGAGATAGGTAGAAAACGCCATTTTAAAAATTTACTTTACTCAATCCATTGTTCCCCTTTCATAATTATTTTTGCTGGCAGTAAAGTTCTGTGAGGTCAACTTCCTATTTCTACCCTCAAGCTACCAGGTTTTTTCCTACCCTCAGCTGGTAATGTCAGTAATTGGTCTTGTCACGCTTTAAATGCCTTAACAGCTTTGGTCAGGTTGCTGTAAAATCCAGCTATGCTGGCTGGAAAGAAGGAATCCACCATCGTCTGGGGAAGATAGCCACCAAGATCAGTCTGAAAGAAACTCAGGAGTTGAGTCCTGTCTGGCTCCCTGCAAAGACAATGCAAGCAATTTTATAGCCAGTGCATTAAAAAGCATTAAGAACTTTACAATGACTCTTATATGTATTGTTTGATGATAGATATTTCTAAGTACTTTTTGTTTTTAAAACAAACAACAGACATTAATACCAAATTTCAGGGAATGTGGCTATGCCCACAAGTCAACTACAGTTAAACTAGGCTCTAATTAGGTACATGATTCTATTTATGTATTATGGCAATGTAATAAACAACCAGACACTCATTTACCAAAAATTAATACCATATTTGTATGTTCTGCTGAATCTCTGTTTAAGAGGTCAGCAAGAATCCTACCATGATGATAGTTCATGTAACATGAAACACTTCCCTCTAGGAAATGAAAAGAGACTAATTCATTGCACAGAAAAAGAGAACAAAAAGGGCACTCAGCCATAACGATTACTGGCCAAAAGAAGACAGAAGCATGTTATTGCCAAGAGGCTACAGATCACATGTGACCATATACATACAGACACAGTGCACAATGGATAGGAAGAGCTTTAGAATATGCAATGTTCAAATACATTGCTTCTTACCCTGGAATAGGGATACAGAAACAGCCACAGGGGTAATTAAAACCTCTCACAAAATTCGGCTGAGGAGGACACAGTGGGTGTTCCACATTGGTTGCTATAAGAAAAAAGCATTCAAGAAAAATGTCATTTTCACAGGAGATGGAAAAGAGTCCTTGGTACTCAAAGCACCAACTGAGAAAAATATTTAAGAAGAACAGCAGTATAAACTTTTCAATGTGGGAATGTGCCATACAAGCAGTCAGAAAAGACCATTAGAAGGAGCCACCCTGATCATGAAATGGAGAAATCAAACAAGTGTTATATTTAGAAGTAATGGTTACTGAGCTCTGAACATCAAGACGCTTCGAGCAAGTTTCACTGAACCCACGTTCTGTGAGGGCATTGCTTTTCTCAAGAGGCCATTCAAGTTACTTCCAACAAATCCAAACCACAGAGGTATATGCCACTTGACTGCCGAGAAGCTGCATTCGAGCAAGTACTTTTTTGAACAGGATGGGAAAATGAGACAGCTGAACAGTGGGGCAATAAAAGCACTGACTTGTAGCAGGTCAACAACAGGATGAACATAAAAAAAAAGAAACATCCTTCTACACGCAGGGCATCCCCTTAAAAATCATCAATATTTGGTTTCATAAGAACAATCATTTCCACATACAGGAGCAGTACATTTATGCAACAACTTCACCAAAATCTAGAAGCATTGCAGAAAATGTTAAAAGAGGATTTAGCCTAAATAGGACTCCTTTTAGGAAGCTCTGTAAATTCTTAAAAGAACAACAATGAAAACACACAGAAAATAAACTCTCAACTTAGCAACAGGGAAGAAACCACAAGCCAATTGTATCATCATTACCTAAATGTTAATGTGATTTATATACTCTGAGGACAACGATATAGAGAGACCAATAATATTTTATTTGCTGATCAACATCAGATCAAAATCTACTAAACAGCATATTACTTTTTTAAATTATTATTTTATATTTATTTCTGGTAGCTGGTGGGTATCTCTTAAGATAACATGAACATGCTGAGAACACAAGCATCTTACCTGCAGATAGCATCGTCCCATCTTCACATTGCTCTATTAGTACTACATCCACAAATTCTCTTGGTGAAATAATCTTCACGAAAGCTGAAGGAGTTGTGGTTCTGCATACAGAAACAGTCTGGAAATCACAGAATAGAGTTACATCAGTTGATGTTTTCAAAAGTAAAAAGAAAAATCCCAGTACTTTCTGACTCTCTTTCAGTTACACTTTATAAAGGAGCTCTATTACACCCTTTGTTGAACAAAATGCAAATCAGCACAGTCAAAAGGCACTACAGTGTGTTGATGAAGGACAGTTTAATGGAGAAAACAATGTGATAATGCATTGCTCCCAGGTTGTTTAAGGGCAGATATCACAAGGGATGCTGAAAAGCAAATCTGGCATATCTATGCTCATCAGACAGTATGTGTTTCTCCTTTCCAGGAAGCTAACAAAGATAACGTCTTTGTATCATATCACATGGGATACAACTTGATAACCAGAGTTGTTACACTGCAGAACATCTTCTTTCTGTATCCCCTTCTGTGGAGGCTCTTTTAAGGTTCTGATACACTTAAAAAATAGGAAAAATTTAAAAAAAAAAGAAATTAGACTGTATAACTGCAGCAGCAGAAACTACCACTCACACATAGCCTCCATAATGATAGAGATGCTGAGGCAAAGCGCCGGGTCCCAAGGTCAGTCAGCCAGTTAAAGGCAGAGGATCACGGCTGCCATGGTGAGGGCCTGAATTAACGGCCGAGGATACGAACGCCTCACTGCTTAGCTAAGGCTACGTATTCTCTAAACCTCCTTTTCCCTCACAAACAGCCTGTTAAATACAACCATGCTTAGCTTGATTTCCAGCATTAACGCTACATTGTAGTGTACATCTTTAATGTTATACTTTTATATATGTGAAGTATGCAGTATATAGCTAAGAATGTACTAGTAGATCCTTTCAGAATGATAAGCCTCTGATAAGAGAATATATGCAATTTACAGGGTAAAAAAAAAAAGATGCCCAATTCCAGTACTGTCAGAGTGATGCAAACAGAGGCTGTACAACTTCCTTGAGACTTTTGTACCTCCCTGCACATAACATAGGCTGTTCCATGAGGCACTACAACACGAATGGCAGCACAGAGCTCAGTGTTTTTGAACACAACGCTGCATTAATCGCACCAGAGCATTTTTTACGGAACTTACATCGCTGATGGCCTCCACGACCTCAAAGTCCTTCACGGTTTTGTCCCACTTGGTCCTACGCCCGCCGGCCACCGGCTTTATGCATTCCCAGACCTCCTGGGGGTCGGCAGGCACGACCCCCTCTGCCCTGTACCTGCGGCGGGACGAAACCAAACTCTGCTGCTCCTCTGTCACGCCCTGCGACATCGGCACAGCGGGAGGCGATCCCTCCTCCCGGCATCTGGGAAACGAACGCGGGGCGCCGGGCGTACTCACACGTTGCCAGCAAACTCCGCCGAGGGTCTCCAAGAAACCGAAACCTCGCCCTGCGGGGAGGGGAAGCTTTCAGCCACCGCGCCGGCCCAGCCCCCCGCCCCTCCTCAGCCGCCCCGCCCGCTCACCGTGCTCTGGCAGACTCGCCAGCCGCTGGGGTCCTGCCGGTAGAGCCTCATCTTCTCGGCCGCCGACTCGGCAAGCCCGACATAGTCCATGGCCAAACAGGGCGGAGCTGCTGCTCGGTCGCCGCCTAAGAGGGCGCTGCTCGGCACCGCCCCCGTGGGCCGATGATGGCGCCTCCCCCTCACCTGAGGAGTCGTGGCGTCCCGTCGGCCAGGCCGCCACCAGGAGGAAGTGGCTTTGCTTGGGTTTCGACGGGCGGGGGGGGGGGGGCAGGGCTGGCGTTGACCGTCCACGCCAGGGCGGACTTGCGGGTGGCTCTGCAGGAGAACTGATAACAGTTGGCCTCACCTCCGGCGGCAGCCTGAGGGGAAAAAGACCCGCAAGGCGAGACAGGCAGGTGTGAGGCAACATTACTGCATCGCCTCCGGCCTTCAAAAACCGCAGGGAGCCAGGGCCGAGGCTTTGCAGTTCTCTTTCCTAAAGATAGGGCCACCCCACTCACCCACTTGCAGCCTGGCCGCGGTGCAGCCATACCACCACACACCCCTGCGAGGCCCTGGGCTGTCAGGTGGCCAGTGAGACACCATGGGAGACGTCCTTCCTCTGTCCAGTGACACAGCACAGCATGGCTTAGTGGAACCAACTGAAAGAGCCAAGGCAGTTCGGGAAAGACCAACGGTTCTTTTATCCAAATGACATGAAAAAAGAAACCCCAACCTTCAGCATCTAAAGAAGGCATAAAAGTGCAATGGTCCTTGAAAAACAGGACAGAATTAAATTAGGAGAAGCAAGTGTTATAAAGGCCATGGACAGAAAGTTTTCCACAGTGAGGCATATGAGACTAGGCTGAGGAGTCTCACCAGAAAATTAATAGAAGATAGAGGATTTCATCTAGAAGGCTCCATTGCCCATGCGCTACTCTAAAGAAACTTGCTATTCTCTGTAATTAACCTATTGCTGATTTGTTTGAGCTACACCACGCTCTAACTACGTGTGTCAAGGTATCATAAATTATACAGTAGATAGAAAATCTGTAGGAAGTTGATTACCTGCTGAATTTATTCAGTGGAAGCATCTTTAGTTGTGACTGTGTCAAAGAGACAAAGAGAGCCTCATCTGGCATATTTTTGTACCCATTTAATTAAAGTGCCCCAAATACATAGCTTTTGATTTTCCAGTAGGTGGGGTTTTTGTTTTTTAACAGCATAACAGTAAGTAAAAAATTGCAATAATTTTCTCTTCCAAATTTTGCAGCGTATCAGTTGTGATCATAAAGCAAGATACAGTTAACAGTAAAACACAAGGCTAACTATGCTTTCCCCACCTCGAATAGCTGCATACTCTGTTCTTGCAAAGACTATGTGGTAGTTATTCCCACAGACCTCAAACAGCAAGTACAACAAATGCACATACACCTGTTGAAAACACAAAAAAGTTGGGTCAGTCTCAGACATTTGAGCATACCAGTTCATTAGACTCAGACATACTTAGATCAACAACATTTTTTGATTTCTTTTTGGTGAGTTTTGTCCCAGGTTTTGGATACTTTTCCTTGCTATGAATGACCTGGATATATTGGTCATTGCCGCTGTTCTGCGGATCACTGCTGGACTCAATGGAAATGGAATCGGATTCTGTTAGAGATTGCTCCAGCTTTTGCTTTGATTTTGGTTTCACACGTGGCTCAGGATAGTTCAGGTGCACTTTCTTGTAAGCATACGGAGGCCTGTCCAGGTCTAGCTCGAAACCATCGTCCCAGGACTTGTAATGCACTCTGGCTAGATCTTTGCTCATAAGAATGTGGCCATCAGCACGTTCCCCAATGTAAAATCGTGGTGCTGGGCGAAGATCAGACAGTGAGCGAGGGCGATGGGATCTGCTGATGAATTCTCTCCCAAGTTCCTCTTCATCCTCCTCATCTTCACTGGGATGAGGTGAATACATCTGGTGTGGTGTTCGAACAACATATCTTCTGACATTGCGTGGATACAACTCAATAATGTCTCCCGATTCCTCCTTTCTCAAGTGCCTTTGGAGTCGGGAGGTAGAGCGGAGAGATTTTTTGCGTGACTCATTTTCATTAACAACAAAATACCTGGTAGCATATGGTTTACGTCCCACAAAAACAGGAGCCCCTGCCCCGAGAGCATCCGGATTTGCCTGACAGATGCCTTTTCTAAAGAGAGGCTCAGAGTGAACATCTTCGGTGTGCTTTTTGAAAGCGACTGGTGCATAGGGCTTTGTTTTACAGAGCTCACTTGCACTCCCATGCACCACACTTGGGTACCTTTAGGAACAAAAAGAAAGGAAGAAACTATTGAGATACACAGTTATCTATTAATGTAGTTAAAACATATTACAAATTCATTGCTTTTGAAGTCAAACACTAGATTGTAAGGGTGGAAATTACAGAATCTCCATAGTTCTGAATTTCTAGGACCAGTTTGAGAAACATACCCGACAAATTAGGAGATATATTTTCCTCCCTGGGAAAAGAAGCAGAAAACCCACATCTCAAGTATGTTCCTGTTCTATTTTCTTACTATTCTGAGAACTGTTCTTTATTCAAACACTTGGAAAAAAGAAACCAAGAAGTAGCTTAAAGCATCAGTCTGCTGATGTCCAAAACTGGTTGTCCTATGAGGAGACCCGCACAGGCATTCTGTAGAGAGTTCTTTCACTCTTACTCTGTTTGTCTTGTTCATGGAAACACTATCCTGCACAAACTATGTCAGTTATATGCCTAAGAGGAAGCTTAGTATTTACGTTTGCTTGAGATGTTTGTAAACTCCATCAACTACACAATTCCAAAAGTTTTATAACCCCATCTCAGTTAAGGAAGAGTTAAGGAGTTGGTGTCGCCAGCAATCTGAATAGTACCCTTTGTACCTGAACAGTACAAATCTGCTTTTAAAAAAATTCCTCAGCTGTTTTACTGCTCCAGACAGTCTGAATGCACAGCTAGTTTGTAAATGAACACAGGTGTGTCACAAAGCTGCTGCTATAAATGCCATTTCATAACCAAAACAGACTTGCCTGTTTGTGACATGATCATTTCTTGGTTTCTGTACACTTGATACTGAGGGAGCTGGCGTTAAAGACGTTGAAGTTGTGGGAGTTGCGTTGACAGGTCTTGCAACATCAGTTGAGGGCACAGTTTGTGGCACAGACTGGGAAATGGTTTGTATTCTGGTGCTTTTGGTCACGGGAGATTCAAAGTTCAAGACACTGCCATTCTTTCGAGGAGTTGAAGACCGAACAGAAGACTCCTGACTGATAATATCACCTTCTTGATCTGGTCTCTTGTCATTCCCATCCAGATTTTGGATTCTGGCTAGAAAACAGAAATTATTACAGGAACTGCCCAGGCCTATAAAATTGGAAACTGCTGTGTAAATGCAGTGGCTCAAATTCACCCTTCAGTCACGGGAGACAATGCTAACAGAGCCCCACTGTATTCAGAGAGGAGAGACTGGTGTCACACTGGGAGACATGGTGATAAAGGAGTAGACCAGATACTATGGTACATGGCAGATGTAGTATAGGGAAACACTGAAAAACCACCGGACATTGCACTGTCAGATTCCAAAATGGGGAACAACCCAGTGACTACCTTCAGGAGCCTTGTTTTAGTTCACAGTGTGCACCACTTCCAATATAGAGGTGGCCGAATTCAGCACACTGGCTCCACTGACTCTGCTGGTTGCAGCCAAAAGTTGAATTTCATTTCTGTAACAAAGGAAATCCAAAGAAATACCTCTCTGCCCCTAACAGTCACTTCTGAAAACGATAGTGCTATACATCAGGTATTTCACTATTATAGTTCTCATATATAATCTCGACATATAAGGGCGTCACAGTAGCATTGAGATCTAGCCATAAGGCTGCTGAATCATGTCTGCTCTTTGGCTTGGCACATTTTCACTTATTCCTTTCACTGGGAGATATTAGAAGGACGACATCCCTTCTGCAGTTTCTCATCGCGAAAATCTGAGAAGTGGAAGGTACGGGGTTCAAATTCCCTCAGACACAGTAGACAATTTTAAGTCTGAAAGCTTTTCATTGCTGATAAAATATTCAACCTGCTCCTCTTCATCTACTGGCCTCTGAATTTTGTGCAAGGTCTGACAGGATTTGAGTAATCAGAGACACTTCCCAGGTTCTGTCCTTTAGGTGGTAAAAGCAGGAAAATACCCAGTCCAAAGATCCCAGTAGAGTTTAGATATAAACCGCACACCTTGTCCTTCAGTGCTGCCAAGATTAAGTCAAACTGAGCTCAAAAACCATGTAAAAGGAGGACTCTACAGGAAATACAGATTTTTAAATGTAGTTAAACTTCCTGATGTGTATGAGAAATCAAAATGATTTTGCGTCCAACTGCTTTGTTAGTAGAGGCATTTCTAAAGTTCACCAACTTACCTACTGCCATCTGAACCACCTTTTTCTTATCTTCAGTTCTTTCCTAAAATACATTCAGAAGAATAAGCAGTGGTAAATTATATCTGGATTAGAGAGTAAATCCACTGCTGTGTAAGGATGAAAAATACAGGGTTGGTTTTACATTACGAAACACTGAAAGTGACTTTAGAGATTTAATTAGGCTAGTGCTTTACAGAAGATCCACCAAATTGCCGGTAAAAGTGCTTTGTGCTGTACTTACTGCTTGGATCTTCATTCTCAGTTGGTTGTTGGTGAATTTTAATGATCTTGCAATACTTTGTAGGTAATAGATTAGCATGCTAGAAGTGAAAGAGGTGATTATGAGTCACTTCAAACATTTGGGACAGTTTTCTCTCTGAGGCTTTATAAGTCATCAAAATGATATACAGGTTCAGTTGCCACTTTGAATCACTTCCTTTACACCGTGATAAAGGATCACAGCCTTCTTTCAGGCAAACACACAGCAAATAAATAAATGATGCTAAGAACAGATTAAAGAACAGTTCTAATTGTGTCTGTGTGTTTTTTGCAGATCTTTTCATTGTGCATGTAACGCTGGGTGTGTTTCTAGGTTGACTGGGGGTTTTTTTGGTTTAAGTTCTAGACACGCTCAAAATGAAAAATTTGATACATATTTTCTCATCTTTTTTTC